TCATCTACTGGGCCTCCATCTTGTCAGGATTCAAGCTCAGCTTGTCTTTCCTCTCCTGAGTCAGATGGGAAAAGAGAGCTGAGTGTCATCAGCATACTCATCAGACCTTGCCCCAAAACTCCTAATGGCCACTCCCAGCAGCTTCATATAGATATTCAATAGCATTGGGAATAAGGGAGTGCCCTGTGGCACCCCATAACGTCACCTCCAGGGGACTGGAAAGCATTCTCCCAATGCTGCCCTCTGGACTCGGTCTCAGAGGTAGGACCAGAACCATGGTAACACAGGGCCTCCAAGTCCCACCTCAGGAGGATACCATGTCAATGCTATCAAAAGCTTAAGAGATTTTAAGAAGGACTGGGAACCATTTATGTACATCAGATGACAAGGAAATAAGCAGCTATCCTATTTTTAAAAGACTTCTGAAGCAGCCCTGTTTAGGGAAGTTTTTAATATTTAATGCTGTATTGTTTTTAACACTCGATTGGGAGCCGCCCAGAGTGGCTGGGGAAACTCAGCCAGATGGGCAGGGTATAAATAAATTATTATTATTATTATTATTATTATTATTATTATTATTATTATTATATCTACAGAAACAATGTAAAGAAGTGGACACCCTTGCAGGGTTTGATTAAACACTTGCACCCAACAAAACAATAAAATAAATGTAGAAATAGAAATATGAGGTTAGAATGATAAGAAAAGAGTAATAATTATCTTAAAGAATAAGAAATAACTAATAAGCAGGGTGAGATAAAGCACCAGAAAAGGTAGTTGAGGGAAGTCATGGGGGGATTTGGGGATTTATATTCTATTTTCCCCCCTTTTGTGTGAAATATGATAAAATTGAAAAACTTAATAAAATCATTAAACAACAAACAAACTTAAGAGCACTTCGAAAAGGAAGCTGTGATTATTAAGACTAAGTCATGTCAGACAAACCTCATTTCTTTTTTGATGGGGTAACCAGCTTGGTGGATCAGGGGAATGCTGGGGATATAGTGTATCTTGATCTCAGTAAGGCTTTTGACAAAGTCCCCCATTGTATTCTTGCAGAGAAACTGATAAAATGTGGGTTGAACGAGGTAACTGTTAAGTGGATTTGTAGCATAATGGAGTCAACAATTTAGAAGGCAGGTCCAGGAAGGAAAGAAAACCCCTGCTGGTATAAATGGGAAATACCAGAGTTGCGCCTAGTATACAAATTCAAATATGTGTGAGTGTGGACTACTCTGGTCTAATCTGAATGGGATTAACAGCTAGATAATGTTAAAATGTAGACAAGCCGGGGGGGTGACCTTACGTCTGCCCCCACTGCCTCTCCAACCCATTCTCCAAAATGTACCATCTGACTTGCTCTGATAATATACGGCTTGCTCTTCTGCTGTTAGTTTCAGCTTGATAAAACACAAGCAGCGCCCAATGTGGCAGGAGTCTGAGAATTCACACAACCCAAGATAATATTTGTTGTAATCCTAACACTACAACTAAAATCAGAAGAGGTATTATTATTTATGGCCTCCAGATGGCAGCACTGCACACAGTCTTTACAGGTTTGCTGAGCCTCCACCCAGTTGTCTGTCTACAGATTTTCACTCTGTAACCAGCAAAATCAAGGAGGGAAGCTTAGACCACTGCTGAGAGCACCTGTTTTGCACATAGAAGGTCCCAAATTGAGTCTCTGGAATCTCCAGCTGAAAGACGCAATTGCAGGGAAATAATTTCTGTCTCTGCCTGAAACCCTGGAAAACCCCAGCCAGTCAGGCATTGCTTAAAGGTAAAGGTAAAAGGACCCCTGACCAATAGGTCCAGTCGTGACCAACTCTGGGGTTGCGGTGCTCATCTCGCTCTATAGGCCTAGGGAGCTGGCATTTGTCCACAGACAGCTTCTGGGTCATGTGGCCAGCAGGACTAAGCCACTTCTGGTGAACCAGAGCAGCGCACGGAAACGGCGTTTACCTTCCCGCCGGAGCAGTACCTATTTATCTACTTGCACTTTGACGTGCTTTCGAAGTGCTAGGTTGGCAGGAGCAGGGACCGAGCAACGGGAGATCACCCCGTTGCGGGGATTCAAACCGCCAACCTTCTGATCAGCAAGTCCTAGGCTCTGTGGTTTAACCTACAGCGCCACCTGCGTCCCAAACCAGGCATTGCTTGGTTTGATACAATTTGTACCAAGTATAAAAAAGCTTCCTGGGATCCTAACTGAGAGTGTGGCAGGCTTATTTATTTAAATATATCTATGCCAAATACAACATTTAAAGCATAAATTAAATACCAGAGATTAAAACACTGGAGATGCAAAGGTTTCTGAGTAATTTGGTAAAAGAATAAAATGAGAATTCCTTGGGTGCATAGATCCAGGTTTGGTGAGAGAGACCCAGCAGAGATTTAAAATCACAAAACTTGCAGCAAAGTAGAGTGTGGAAATATAGGCTGTTAGTTTATCATATTCCCTTCTAAGTTTCTTCCAAAATTTCCCACTTCCCCTCAACATAGAAAGAGACCACACATTTGGTAAGTAAAAAATTGTTTACTTACAAACTCCTCAAATATCATATTCATGTCCTTTTCCATACAGCAGCAATAAAAGACAGGTGGTACAACTTAATTTCAAAATTGGTTTCTAAATGTTTCTAAATTATTTGCATAGAAACAAGACGGCTTGCTAAAGCCATGTGGTCTGGGCTTGGAGCAACCAGCCCAGACATTCTTACTGGTTGGTTCACCTGGTGGAAAGAGAAAAAGAACGAAGAGTTTGGTAACCCTTCCTCCCAAGGTGAGGGTATGTCACCTAGCTAAGCCTGGCAGGACAGCTTACTCTGTGGTCTTAACCCATTCAACTTTAATTAGATTTAAGCATGTTGATTATATGAGGCTAGATACTGTGTATCCCAGAAAAGCTTCCTGGAATAAAACAGTTTTATTCAGTCACCTGGAAGTTAGCAGGTATGGGTCACTTTCAACCCTTTCTAGTAGCATCTGATCAGGCAGGGTTCTCACCTTGCATGGAGTCACCTTTTTGCTCCAAGTATTTCTTTGCCATCTCTGTTTGCAGCTGCTCCATTAAACTGCTGGCTCCGCTGCTGCATTTCCCCATCAAACCGCTGTTCCATTTTGTCAAATCACTGGCTCTGTTTTTCCATCATCAACTCCACCTGTTTGCTATTGCTATTCCTCCCTCCATTTCACTTCAGACACACAACACTCAGAGGTCCTCCTGCAGGAAACGTGAATCCCACTTCTAACACCAGTGTTGCACACCAACCCAATCTCCTAGTGGTGAGATATTCCAGGGGTTCCAGGTGCTTACCAAGAGCCTGGTTTCCTGGGACTGAAAGTCAGCAGAGACTGTGGTGTCTTTAGGGTAATATTGTGTGTGTGTGTGTGTGTGTGTGTGTAGGGATGCAGGTGGCGCTGTGTTCTAAACCACTGAGCCTCTTGGGCTTGCCGATCAGAAGATCGGCGGTTCGAATCACCGCGATGGGGTGAGCTCCCGTTGCTCGGTCCCAACTCCTGCCAACCTAACAGTTCGAAAGCATGTCAAAGTGCAAGTAGATAAATAGGTACTGCTCCGGCGGGAAGGTAAACGGCATTTCCATGCGCCGCTCTGGTTTCAGTGTTCCCGTTGCACCAGAAGCAGCTTAGTCATGCTGGCCACATGACCTGAAAAACTGTCTGCGGACAAACGTTGGCTCCCTCAGCCAGTAAAGTGAGATGAGCACCGCAAACCCAGAGTCGTTTGCGACTGGATTTAACTGTCAGGCGTCCTTTACCTTTACCTTTTTATGTATGTATGTATGTATGTACACACAGACACACACACACAACGTGAGCCAAGAAGGAGGGGCTCACAGCATTAACACTCCAAAAGGTCTCACTTCTCTCTTAGTCACAGCCTTAAATACCAGCAGAAATCAAGCATGGGTCTGTGTCCAGCTTTGCAGACTGCTTTGTTGCTGCTGACATCACACACCACAACTCTAGCTCTTGTATTCCTAACTACCAGCCAGGGATGGGGAAGGGCCCACCCATTTGCCCCAGGCATCAAGCAACTTCTTTGGTTATGCCAATCATGGTCCTTATGTGGCTGGCTAATTGTTTTACAATTCCCTAGATAACGGCACTGGTTTGGTGAGCTTGGTCTCGTATCTTGGACTCAGAGGCATTATGCAGACTGATACCCCTCTCCCCCCAAAGCTGCAACAATATAAAATAAGCAGTTTATTATTTTGAGTGTGCATGTGTGTGTAAATGGATAATGATACATTATTTATAAATTTTGTTAAATAAAATAAAATAATAAATGCTGACATGTTCTAACCTCTTTTTAGCTTGTTGCTGATATTGTTTCTAAAATGATTCAAATTGTTTTTAACTGTTTTTAATGATAGTTTTAATATTTATTGTAAACTGCTTAGTGGCTTTGCTACAGTCGACATACTGTACATATATACATAAATACATCATTTTATTTTTATGCTGCCTTCCAAAGTTAAAACCATGCTCAAGGTGGCTTACAACATGGGAAAAAATACACAATTCAAAACACATAAACAATAAATAAAGCATCAAAAAGTACGCAACCAACTTGAACAATTTCCACATCATAAAAATAAAAATGCAAACAAAAAACCACAAACAAAACAGCAACACCCCCCAACAAAACCTCCTAAGCACCCTAAGAATTAAGTAGTATATAAATTTTATTCAGTTGTTTCTTGATGCTAAACATATATGTATTTCTGCAGAAAACAAACAAACCCCCAAACCCAGAAAAAAAGCCAAATTCCAGTGTGAGGAGGGGCAGTGGGCTACTGTGTCGACTCCTCCCCACACTTTAGCTGCATATGCGTCGCCCCCCAAAAGAGAGGCAGTTCCCTGTGAACAGATTCCGATGGATTTGACCAACTTCTGTTCATCAGACAGTCCTCAGGAGGGCAGGGCACCCTCGGAGTCCGTCTCTGGGCTTGCTCTCTTGCAGAGGCTTGCCCGTGTTGCCATGGCTACCTCTGCCACATTGCAAGCTGATGTGACCAGCCTGCTCTCCAATGCCAACCCCACAACCGCCCTCAGTTGCTTTTGGGCAGCGCTTCTGGTTTCCCAGGACGGTCCAGACCTACAGCGGCGGATCTGAGGTCAGTCTTTAATTGCGTTAAATTATGGAAGGGGAAGAGAGAGGAAACCTAGTCTCCTATTTGAAGGGTCCCAGAAGACAACTCTGTGGGAGTGTTTCCTGCAGGACTTGGGGGGGGGGAGTGTGAACAGGGATAGGCAAATCTGTCCGTTTTGGTTTCTCTCGCTCGGTTTCTCATTGTACCAAACTTAAATTCATTTCCCTGCACTTCCAAATCTGTTTCTGGGTGCTTGGGTGCTTGTTATTTTTTTAAAAAAATCCTCTAGAAAATTCATCAGCATCTTAGCGTGAATTTCCCATAATATGCACCATTCTTTACCTTAATACAGTGCATTTTGTATGTTATTTCTATGGCTACATGCATTGTTATGCGCAAGTTGCCTCTGTTTGTGCATTTTTCTATGCATGATTTTTGCATTGCAGAATTCAGAGAATCGCGAATTTTCGACAATATCTGTGTTTCAGTTTGCATGTTGTGTGAAACTAAATAGAATTGAACTCCTCCCCCAACCCCATGAGCAAGGAGCCCCCTTAGCTAGACAGATCTGGAATTTGGCTGCTTTAAAGTGTATATGAGACGGCATTTTATTATGAGGCCTTGTTTGCTTAAAATTTAGGATCAGAATGAATTTTAGTATATGTAGGTTTTGATCTTGGCATTGCCCCAGGTGCCTTTGGGAAGGGATTCAGTTACAAACTACATGTAAATTCAACAATGTGAGTTTGTGGGAGGTGGAATAAATCTACGTATATTGGTGGAAGATAAGTCTATCAGTGCCTACTAACAACACTGGGTCTAAAATGGGATCAGGCACGTTCCCAGAGGACGATGGCTTGATGAGTGCCTATTTGCTATGACAATTATATATCTATGTTTTGAGGCAGTCTACCTCTGGTGGCCAGTTGCCACTAAATTGGCCCTCCACCTTCCTGTTTGTGGGCTGCCTGGTCTCTGAGGACGTGAGATGCTAGGAGGAACAGCGCCTCCTTGGACTCTGGAGCCAACCATAACCCAAGTGAACGGAAGCAGAACCAAAACACATTCAAAATGCTTTGGGCACACTACCTCAGCATCACGTGGCACAGTTAATTAAGTACATTACCAATCAGCTTTCGTTGACCTGATGCCTTCCCATCAGTCTCAGCCAGGACAGCTGTTGTAACCCAGAACATCTGGAGGCTGTCAGGTTGGCAAAGGCTGATATAGATATGAATCAGTATTTCGCATCACAACTTGGGTTTTTTTTAAAAAAAATAAAAATTGATTGGCATTTATATTTTGTTTTTGTTTTGCAACCGGAAAAAACAAAGCATTTGTCTCTATTACAGGCCAAATTCTGCAGATGTTCATCTATATAATTCTATAGAGGGTTTCCAGCACTGAATTCATTCAACCATGGGTGAGTATTTGAGTATAGGAAGCATATCAAGGTGGGGAGGAGGAGGAGGACATTAGATACAGGTGTACAGGTGAGGGGACGGAGAGGATCACAATCCGTAATCCATCTCCCTGCTCATCTTCTTAACGCCAGAAGAACAATGGTTCAGGCGGATTAAATGCAGTGCCAAACGAAGAGCTTCATTCTCACCTTTAAACCAGGGATGAGGAACCTGAGGCCCTCCAGATGTTGTTGGACTGCAACTTCCATCATCCCCAGCTGTTGGCCATGCTGATGGGAGTTGAAGACAAGCAACATCTGGAGGGCCACAAGTTCCCTATCGCAGCTTGAACCATCACCAGCCCTGTGGAGGGCAGCCCAGGTGGGCCCATTGTAATCCAGTGGCAGTCCCATGCGCACGTTCTAGAGAGTAAGGCCACGTCCACACCAAACATGGACCTTCCTGTGGTGGCTCCCCATTTGTGGAATGCTGTCCCCAGGGAGGCTCATTGGGCACCTTCCTTTTATATATCTTTAGGCGCCAGGTGAAAACGTTTATCTGTAACCAGGCTTATCAATCAATCTGTGGCCTTTTAAATGCATGCGGCAGGGCTATCAGTTTGTTCTCGTTTGTCTTTGTTATATACCATATTTTTACGGGTATAAGACTTGGTTTTCCCCCTAAAAATTAATGTCCTAAATTTGGGGGTGTCTTATACACAGGGGCCATCTACCCTCCATTTTCTTAAATCAGAGTCCCCCAAAACAGGGGGCACCTTATACATGGGGGCGTCCTATAGACGAGAAAATATGGTATTTTGCATTCTCATTTTGGTTTTTTATGTTGTAAGCCACCCTGTGTTATTTGGATGAAAGGTGGTATACAAACTTATTAAATAATAACAATGCATTTAAAGCACCAGGATACCACTTTACCCCTCGTGGCTTTCACCAAAGAATCCTAAGAACTAGAGCTTGCTAAGGGTGTTGAGAGTTGTTAGAGGACACTTATTCTCCTCACAGAGCTACAATTATCAGAATACCCAGGGAAGAGGGATTGATTATCAAATGAAAGGGGATTAGACAAATTAATGGCCTAAATCATAGAGCCTAGGGCTTGCCGATCGGAAGGTCGGTGGTTCGAATCCCCGTGACGGGGTGAGCTCCCATTGCTCGGTCCCTGCTCCTGCCAACCTAGCAGTTTGAAAGCACGTCAAAGTGCAAGTAGATAAATAGGGAAGGTAAACAGCGGGAAGGTAAACAGTGTTTCCATGCGCTGCTCTGGTTTGCCAGAAGCGGCTTAGTCATGCTGGCCACATGACCTGGAAAAACTGTCTGCGGACAAACGTCAGCTCCCTCGGCCAGTAAAGCGAGATGAGCACCGCAACCCCAGAGTTGTTTGCGACTGGATAACTGTCAGGGGTCCTTTACCTTTAAACTTACAATGGCAAAGTGGAATTAATACCTTTGAATGCCAGTCGTGGGTAGAAGCTACTGCCTTCATGCCCAGTTTATGGGCTGAACCAAGGTATTTTTCTGCCTGAGGATAAGATGGCAGTCCTGTTGGACGGGCAGCTGAATCTTACATTAACTGTGGTGATGGGATGCTGGAGGGCAGTGAGACTTACCTAGTGGGTGTGCCTCAGGCTGCAGAGCCCACCACTTTGTGTGAAATTGTGTACAATTGAAACACCCCATTCTGTCCCCGCCCAGCCCCCGTTCCACCCTTTTAGTGACATCTTTTATGATGTTTCAGGGTCACTTTAAGGGTCCGGCTCTGTGCATGTGTGCACAATTGTGCACATGTTGGTCGCACCTAAAACGGGGAATGCTTGCTGTTCTGTCTTCCAACACCTTGATGCCTGAGGCAGCTGCTTCACTTGGCCTAATGGTAGGGCCGGCCCTTTCCAGGGGTATCTGTACGGCCACTGTAGGATACAAGATGCTAGATTATTATTATTATTATATATTTCTTTTTACCCCGCCTTATTCCCTGATGGGACTCAATGAATCTTTGGTCTGATTCAGCTACAGGGCTCTTCTGGTCTTAGGAGTTGCTAAGAGGCTTGTTCTTCAGGGTTCAACTTCTTCTTTGGGGCCTCTAACTGTTAAATCTACACACAACTTCATGGTTTGGCAGCCCTAGAGCCTTGCACCCTGTTCCACTGCTAACAAAATACACAGAGCAGAGACCAAGAGGGAAAAGGCTGAATTGGCAAGATCTCCTGGGCAATTGGTGCCTCACAATATGGACACCCTTGCCCTTGACGTCACCCGTGATGTCACCATGACCTTATAAAGTCTGGGCAAAATAGCTTAGCCAAAGGATGCTTCAAGGAACAGAGGCAGGTCCCTAGGTGGAAGAGGCAGTGGACCAACAGGGTTGTCCGAGAGAATAACATCAATGTGAACTTCCACCTGCTATCTGGCCATAGGAATAGGACTATTAAGGTAACTCATTTACTGTTTGAAAAATGCATATACCCCAATTGAAATATGTTTCCAAGGTGGCTCATGTGAGGTAGGGGTGAGGTCATTGTTAAGCTCTTATTTAATATATGGCAGGGTTAGCTGCTTTGTAGGCCCAGAACAAGAGGCTGTTTACTGAAGAACAAGTTAACAAACAAATCCATAGGAAAAGGAAAGTAACTACCAGAGCAAGCTGAAAGGGTAGAGACTTGGCTCCAACTCATAGTAAAGGGAGACAATGTTTAGGTCTGTCGCTTCCCATTACTACAATAATCTATTGCACAGAATAGGTTCTTTAAAAGCTGCCTTATCTAGCCAGAGCCGGCCCTACCATTAGGCTGCCTCAGGCAGCTGGTTTTACGGTTCACAAAAGGGCAGCACATTGTTAGTGGAAGAAGCACTTGTAGGATTTTCTGCCTTGGGTGGAAACTTAACTTGAATGGCTTTGGATACTATGCACCTTGAATTGGCATGTTTGTGTGTGTCCGATTTGTTGCTTCCCTTCAGATGCAGCCCTTATCCTGCATCTACCTCAGGATTGTCTACACTGTCCAGCAGCAACTCCCCAGGGTTTCAGGAAGGGGGATTTCCCAGACCTTTCCTAGAGATGCTGGGGATTGAACCTGGGACCGTCTGCATGCAAATCAGGGGCATTACCACCTGGGTGCAGTGACACAGGAAACAGGTGTGACATCTTATCCTTAAAATAGTCACACCTAGTATTTTCCACAATAAGACAGAGGTTTACTCTGACAGTAGAATTTGCAAGGAGAGAGAGAGATTTAAAGTTGACTGGAATGTATACTTTTTCTGCCTTGGAAACCTTGCCCTCCAGTCCTAAATGTGTGTGCCTGCTGATGGATGGTGGGTGATGGAAGGGAACTCTGCACATGCTCAGAGGTGTTTTTATTCTGACAAGATTTAAAGCATTTCTCGGGCGCACGCAGGGAAATAATATGTTTCCTGTGAACTCATTCACCTGCAATCAATCAGCTTGCTCTCTTCATTGCTCCAACCGTCCGACGACTTTATTCCATTTTTTATAATTTGGTTGCTGTGCAGTTATTGTTGCTTTAATTTTCTCTTTTATTACCTTTGCTTGTTTAGCCTAGTATTTAATTTATGAGAAGCTCCACTCTCAGAACAGCAACCAGATGACGCAGGTGATACAAAAACTGCTTGTTAAAAAAGGAAAGTCAGTCAGTCATCCTGCAGAACCCATGGCTGCGAAAACTGTCTAGTTGTATTTCAGATATCCCTAAGTTTTTCATTTGTCGCCTTCCAGGCAAGGAAAGTATGCCCATTGTTAAGTATCCCAGGACAGTTGACCCTCTTTGGTATGAATGGGATAGGAAGGCCCAGAAATGCGGACTAAGGCACACCGTTTACGCGGTCAATGGTGACCGGTACACCGGCGAATGGCTGGACAACCTAAAACACGGTAAGGACAATCTAGAGCAAGAATAGTAGAATATGTTGCAGGATATTCAAACTAGCCTCGGGTTGGCTCCCTCTCCAATGCATGTTGAGGCAAGCAGGTCCCTTGTGAGCAGGGGCGGAGGAAGAGGAGTGCGGTGTGGGTGGGTCGCCCCGGATGTCACCACTGGGCGGCACTTACTACGGGGCATTGCAGCACGCCCGAGCCACATGTCTCTTCTGGGTGTGACACGGTGGCTTGGGAGCCCGCAGGCTCCGCGCTGCTCCAAACTGTCCGCCTAATGCCTCCCCCCTCAGCTGTAGGGCGGTTGAGTGGGAGGAGGCAGGCAGACTCATCAGAGGCCCCACGGAGCGTCCTGCCCCGGTTGGCCCTGCCCCTGGGCACAGGGCACAGGCGCCCCCCCCCAGGCGCCCGGTCAGCTTGTTCCACCGCTGCTTGGAAGAAGAGATTTAAAGAGATCAACCTTTAAATGAGTAAAGCCAGAGCATGAAAACAGCCCCCCTCACCTGCAATCAGCTATTCACAGCAGGTAAATTGCTTCTGGAAAAGAGGATCTGATTTGCTGCCATGGCTAATAATAATAATAATAATTTATTATTATTTATTATTTATACCCCACCCATCTGGCTGGGCTTCCCCAGCCACAAAATACAATGGTACCTCGGGTTACAGACGCTTCAGATTACGTACGCTTCAGGTTACAAACTCCGCTAATCCAGAAATAGTACCTCGGGTTAAGAACTTTGCTTCAGGATAAGAACCAGAAATCATGTGGCGGCGGCACAGCGGCAGCAGGAGGCCCCATTAGCTAAAGTGGTGCTTCAGGTTAAGAACAGTTTCCGGTTAAGAACGGACCTCCGGAACGATTAAGTACTTAACCCGAGGTTCCACTGTATTAAAATACAGTAATGCATCAAACATTAAAAGCTTCCCTAGCTGCTAATAGACCTAGCAGGGAGTCATTGGCCTTTTTAGTTCTGAGCAAGTGCTGCGGGTGCCGTCCCCGCAAGCAACTTCTCTTCCCTCTTGCTTGCCTCACTCCCCTTTCCTGACTGAGAGGCAAAGGAACATACACGCTTGTGCACGCACACCTTGCTTTCCCAAGGGATAGACGTAAACAGATCAGTAGAATCGATCTGACCCCTGAAGAGCTCATAGAAGTGGAAGAGGAAGTGTGGAAGAGAGACGCTCTTCCAACTTCCTCCTTCAGCACTAGGTAACTTTTCAAGAGAGAGAAAGGTACCGTCAACCACCTTGAGGACAAGGGGGCAGTAAGATAGGCTCAAAAACTTAGCAGGTGTCAGGGCAGCGCCCCCCCCCGGAATAAAAAATTACAGTGGTACCTCGGGTTACAGACACTTCAGGTAACAGACGCTTCAGGTTACAGACTCTGCTAACCCAGAAATAGTACCTCAGGTTAAGAACTTTGCTTCAGGATGAGAACAGAAATCACGTGGCAGCGGTGCAGCGACAGCAGGAGACCCCATTAGCTAAAGTGGTACCTCAGGTTAAGAACAGTTTCAGGTTAAGAACGCACCTCCAGAACAAATTAAGTTCTTAACCCGAGGTACCACTGTACTCATGCCACACCAGTGTTTTTATTGATAAGATATACCATGGAAAACAAAAAGAAACAACTCCTAGCAGTGCTTGATTTATTATAAAGAGCAAAACTGTCTTATAAAATGATCACGAGGCACCCAGAAAGTATAAAACATGAATCATTCCCAAAATACAATTATAAACGAGCCTCTTACATACAT